TTCTTTATTATAATAGGAGTGGAGGATAAACTTGGAAAAGATAAAACAAAAGCGCTCCACATATTAAACACGTCATCAATTTATGTATGAATATGAACAAGGTCACAATGTTGACGGTGGATGAAGATACAAAATATCAAACAAAAGAGTGCACTTGAGACCGAAAGCCTGCTCATAACTCAAAACAAAAATCATAAATAGAAATTTCAGCAAAGTGAAGGCAAGAAATTCAACAAAGTGTAACATGAGATTCAATAACAAAACTAGAGAGAATAGTGCAATTTAGACCTAAAACTTGCTCACAACTTAGAAAAAAATTGGAATCCGAATCAATTGTGTCTCTGTCGGCAATGGAAAAGGTCAAGAAGGGTATAATAATCATACCTAATCGATAAAGAAGATGAAAAATTAGAGGTGTGATCATTGATGGAGAAAAGAAGCAATCCGTGTAAATGAGGGCAATTGAGGAATGTTAAAGAATTTACTGAGTCCGCACCTTTTATTCTGAGGACCGAATATGGAGAAGACCTCAGACCGAATCCAATTCTTCAGACCGAATCCAATTCTTCAGACCGAGTAAGAAGAAATGCATTAAAACAAACACACAAACTGAAGGTTATGGACCGAGTCCAAGCTTCTGACCAAATTAGAAGGCTTATCAAACAGACCCTAAATTTTGTTCAAATCAAGCTTTTATAAGCTGGGTTTTTAAAGAACATGAAGTTAGAAACTGAATTTGAAACTTAATTGGTTTAATTCTCTAATATCTAGGTTCCAGAGGTGATAGATAAACAATTAGGTCTGGTAAGTTCCTTGCTGTCGAGTTGCAGCATGACGACAAAGCCATTCTGGATGAACCTTCGGCTAACTGCAAAGTGACACGGTAGAGTTCTAATCTGCTAGTGATTGTGGATTTCCCTATTGTTGCTTGAGATTGAGCAAGGTAGTTTGTTGGGAAGTCAAGAAATGTTGTGAACTTACGACGAGGTGAGGAAAATGAAGACGATGAATGGTAGGAGATGAGGTTAGAGAGAGAGAGAGGAATGTATGCTCTAACCATCATACAATTTTGGCTTTGAAGTTTAATTTTGACCAAAGTATTCTCTATGTGGAAAAGCGTAACCATGTTATCTTTTTTATTTTGTCCAAAAGAATCAATTAAACTACACAAAAACAACTTTATTCCCTCAAAAAAACATAAAAATAAGTTAAAGGACTGAATGAACAAATTCAAAATATATTGTTGGGCTAATGTGTCATTTAGCTAAAAAAATTTAATATCTTAAATTATATTAAATCATCCGTGATACCCACCCCATACCACATATGTGGCGGGTGACACCACATTTCCTACCATTAACCTATGGATACCTACCACTAAACACACCACTCAGCCTCATTTTTTTTATTAAAATTTAATTAAAAAATACATTTAAAATCATTTTTTTAATACTAGTTTTCCATTAAAAAGACCAAATTACATTAAATAAAACTACATTAATTGAAATAAAAAAAATAAAAATCACAATAAAAATAAAAATTGCATTATTTAAAATAAAAAAATATAAAAAAAACAATAAAAAAAACTAAAAATTCCAACCATAAATAAAATAAACTACCCCATACGCCTACGTCAGGCTCGAACTGACTCTTTTATCCAGATGAAAAGTTTCAAGTCTTCGCCCTCGAGGTCGTCCGCTTTCATTTTCAAGATTTCCATATCGGTTTCTCTTTGGATCGTCTCTTGTGCCTTTTGAAATGATGTTTGTGCTTAAATCATTTTTTGCTCCATCCGAGTCATCATCTCGGCCTTCGTTTCTTGAAGTTGCACATATCAATCAAATTTATCGCCAAACATATCCATAACACTAGAATTCGAAGATGTTGAAGCCATTTTTTTGCTTTATTTCTTCCAACAGGCCGACGAAGAGGTTGGCCGTTTTCAAAATCTAGCGGATTGTCGTTGATATCGATGTGTGTTTTGCTGTCCGATAGTTGGGAGGTTCCATCGGGATTTCTCGAACACTTTAAACCGGAAGATTGCGAAGTTCCTTCCGTTTGCTCTTTCCATTTTGAAGCGTCTCTCAATTTTAGCCACGGTTTCATATACGGAAAAGCATTGCGTGTTGCGTTGTTTTTTCAAATTGCTCTATGACTGTCTTGAAAACATCAAAATCGTTCGAGCCGCTTTTGCGTATGTTTAGGAGGTTGTTGTAGATTCTTCCAAATTCGGTGCATTTTAGTCGAATATTTTGCCATTTCGACGTAATTTTATCGGCATTTCGAGTTTCGCTTTCCATTAACTCGTAAAAATGGCTCGGACTTTCTCCCAAAAACTTCTGTAAGGCTGACTATTTCTTACAATTGGATCTTCGGAAGCCGCCACCCATCCCTCCGTTAACTTTTCTTCTTCTTCTTCTTTTGTCCATGGGACCCTTTCTTGGGTGGTAGTGGGTCGAGTCGGTTTTTTTTTTTCCTTTTTGCTTTTTTGGTTGAGGTGATGGTGAAGGTTGCGTTTCCACAACAAAATCCAACGAAAGTGGTGGTTGTGAGCTTGGTGGTTGTGAAATTGGTGGTTGTTGTTGTTGTAACGTTTGTTGTTGGAGTTGTTGTAGTTGTTGGAATTGTTGTAAAATTTGTTGTTGTTGGAAAAGTGGTGTTTGTTGGATATGAGAACCGGCTTTAAGCAAATTGATAAAACCGCCTTGAGATGACTCCATAGTCGGGAATTGGTGAGGGGTTGTATCTAACGCAAAGCGTTATCGGGTTTGCAATTTCTGTAGTTTGGAGGAGTATTTTGGTTGGGATCCATGGTTTTTGGTTGTGAAGATGTAGTGTGTAGTTTGTGTATAGAGAAAGAAAAGAATGGTGTAAAAATTAAGGAGTAAAAATGTTGCATTTATAGGTAAATAAATTCGTTACTTTTTTTTTATTAAACAAACTAGTTGTTGCATGGCTATAGAAAACGGTCAAAAAAGGCTTCGATTTCATTGATCGTGTGAATCTGTTGTGTCGAACACGAAACATAACAAAAACGAGCAACCACGAAACAACGGGGTGGTGTGCACACCCGTTGTTCGTTGCGAGCTCAACCAAGAAGAGCCTTGTGGTACGAAATACCATAGGGCCTTATAATTAGATTCAATCAATTTTTAAAAGTCAAATTTTCATATACTCACTTGGTCGGTTTTGTCAAAGTCCCACTCTTTATTGTAGTTTTCTATAAAAGAAACGTTTATTTGTTGAAAAGCAAGCTATTTTTTTATACGTATATAGTAATATAATTAGATATTTGAAAATTTAATTTCACTGTTAACCTCGAGAAAACAAAAAAACGTGCAACTATTCATAAGGGCATTTAAAAGGCCACGTAGTGGATGCATTGTTTTTCGTCTCATAGCATTCAACTCTCATAGAGTCATATCTCTTTCAGTATTCACGTTCATCTCTGCCGCCTGCCACAACCACCGAAAATGGGAAGAGCACCTTGCTGTTCAAAGGTCGGTTTGCACCGAGGTTCATGGTCCTCCGAAGAGGACAAGCTTCTTATCAACCACATTCAAACTCATGGCGAAGGCCAATGGCGAGCATTACCTTCAAAAGCTGGTACATTAATTAGCTTCTTACATGTTGATTGTAAGCTTGTTTATGGTTTTTGTGTTGACAACTACATATAAGGTTTAAGTTTAGTTAGATGTTGTTATGGACGTAGGGTTGCTTAGATGCGGGAAGAGTTGCAGATTGAGATGGATGAACTATCTACGGCCAGGTATCAAGAGAGGAAACTTCACTTCCGATGAGAATGACGTCATTATCCGGCTGCACTCTCTCCACGGCAACCGGTGGTCACTCATCGCAACGGAGCTCCATGGTAGAACCGACAATGAGATCAAGAACCACTGGAACGCTCACCTCCGGAAGACAGTTGAAAACGCCGGCCACCACCAGCCAAAACTGTCGAAAAACAAGAAGAAGGTAAAGAAGATGAGAAAATCGGCCGATCGGGAAGCAGAAACAACGAACAAAGGAAAGTCGAAGAAAGTCAAACTTGATCGATCTCCTTCTTCCACCTCGTCTTCATCTTCTGTGTCGTTGAGCAAGAACGAATGTTCTGATAATGGGATGATGAGTGGGGCATCATCGAGTTGTACGATTGACCTTGGAGATGTTGACTTTGACTTTTCATGGTCAAATTGGACACCATTGTTGGAGGTGGAAGGTACAAGCACCATGAACTGTCAACAAGATCAGGATTTTCTAACGGACGGCTGTGATTTATTTATGTCCAAAGCCGATGAAAGGTTGATGCTGGAGAAGCTTTATCATGAATACCTAAATCTACTTGATCAAGAAAATGAAGAAGTACTAAGTACTAATCAAATAAAGTAGTATTGAGTTTTCCTTAGTGTATTACTCTATTTATAAATTCAATATTTAATTAACTGAAACTAAAAAAAGTTTGGTTACACTTTGTTAAGATTGAAATCGTCTTATGTTTTGCAATTGTAACCGTTTAGTATTGCAAAATTGTAACCGTAAAATTAAGTATGATTCTTTTTGTGCACAAATCATATGAATTAGAAAAAAAAAACCATCTTATAGAGACCAACAAACAAAATATTTGTGACCTTTAATTTACAACTAAAGCCATAAGATCACATTAGAAATAATGTGTCACAATTCTCTACCAAATACAAGATAAATGGATGTAGTGAAGATGGTCTATGAGACTTTTTCTAACATGTGACACTCGATTTCAAATTAATTCAATAATTTTTCAAGAGCCGACTATGAGTAAAGACTAAATATGTGGAATTGAATCGTGATAAAATTTTAAGATCCAAGTAATGATCCTAGGATCTCCGTATAATTTTTGCTTCAGATCTTATTCTGATCGGATGCTTAATATTTATATTGTAATCTTAACAATCGATTCCACTCTTAAGGACTTATATATCTAGTTGATCTTTTTATTTTATAAATTAAACCTATTAAAAAAATAAAATATACATCATTGATTCATAAGAACCTATAATTTTAAAATTTATTACTTAGCTGATCTTATGTGCATTTTATAAATCAATTGATCCTATAAAATTAAAATTTATTTCTAGTTGATCTTATGTTCATTTTATACGTTATATTTGCTAGCAAATGATTTCAAAAGTATATGTTAGTTGCATTATATATTTTTAACAATAATGGTTTTGGTTATCTCTTAGTTATTGGTTAAACATAAACGAAAATAACAAAAATAGAAAGTACATTTCAATAAAATGTGAAATACAAAAAATCCATTAATAATAATTAAAAAAACAAAAATAAAAAAAATAGATAGTTGATAGCTATATATATATATATATATATATATATATATATATATATATATATATATATATATATATATATATATATATATATATATATATATATATATAATTTTATTTTTACTAACTATTGTGTGTCATAATGCACAGATCTGGACCACCGGATATAATAGAATCAAAGATCATGATTAGAGGGTCTATGGTATTAGAATATGATAACGTATACCATATAATCACACAAATTTCAGCATAAAGGCATTTTAGTCAAATAAACTATATTAAAAAAAGGAAATTTTAGGGATAATTAATTTCTTTATTTTTTAAAAATTTGAATATTTTAAATTTATTCAAATTTAAAAATCCGATTTTATTATGTCAGAATAACAAAACGTCAACCATAAACTAGTATCTGTTTCACTTTTTATTCTATCAGAATAATAGAATAAAACCATAAAGTAGTAAATATAATTTCGATTTTATTCTGTCAGAATGACAGAATGTCAACCATAAACTAGTAAATACATTCTTAAAGAATACACAAAATCGATTCTTGAACTAATAATATACCAAACAATTACATTGTATGATTGTGATTCATTGAATAATAACAACATTCTGAAAGAATAACAAATGTAATTATTAAAAAATAACAACATTCTTAAACAGTGAGTGTGATCATTCTTTGATTGTGATTCATTATTCAAGCATTTCCCATCAGGCCTTCAAATCATTCTTCAAGCTATTTTTATCACAAATTCATTGCTAAATATTTTGTAGTGATACAATTGTAACAACTACACATTAAACATGTAAATAATTAACTACTATTCTATCAGAATACAACAATAATATTCTTACAGAATAAACTATTCTTGCATAATGGTTTTGGATATTCTTAAAGAATTTGTATTATCAAGAATATACCCAACGAATAAAATGTTTGAAATATAAATGCATGAAAAGATCATGTTAACACAAAAGGTGACTAAGAAAAAAAAACAATTAGAATATATAAACCATCTTTGGCTCACAAGGTTTTTGTTGTGAAAAATGATGATCTATGAAAGCACCATGACGAGGACTCCCTGTATGTATTCCAAATGCATTAGATTCCTATTCAGTTTCTCTTTGCGTATAAAAAATCTTGTTACAAGAAAAAAAGAAACCAAATATCCAAACCACATGGAAGACAGTAAGGGGACAATAAGTAGGAAGAAGACCAGGGTAAAAAGATCCAACAAGATAGTATCTATCCCACCAGGTGTAAAACACCACCTTTGTTTGCACCTACAACTTGTGTAAATTATTGCAAAAGAAAAGTAGTTCATGTGTTTGCATTCTAATATGAAGAAAAAAAATCCCCAACATAACCATTTTCATGTAAATTATGACAGAATCTCAGCTTAACCCTTTTCATCAAAGACTAATGGCATGTACCACTACAGTTAGAATAACTCTTAAATAGTGTAATTGACACATTCTTTTTTAGACAAAATAACCAAATTCTTAAACAATGGTGAACAATATGTTATGTACTCTTATAGATATAATATGTTTCTTATTTAAAAAAGTATAAAAGAAGAGTTCATTGAGGCATTTCATCGAACGGTGTATGAGCATACAGAATATGCAAATTTAGTAAGAACAAAAATTATCGTTGCTTTTTCTAACTTTGGAAATTTAGGGGGACTTTGCCCTACTTTTGTCACAACTAGCCTTTTTGGCTAGGAAATTTCATCCTGAAGTAAGCAAGGACTATTGTGAGACTTGTGCTAATACATTTAAGTATACAAGATGAGTTCCTAGTGAGCCATGTAGTGTTAAAATGTAAATCTCTCCAAGTATATCGAATCCCTCCTAAATCTCTTCAAGTATGTGAAATATCTCCCAAATCTCTCCAAGAATATCGAATCTTTCCCAAATCTCTCCAAGTATGCCAAATCTCTCCAAGTATATGAAATCTCTCCAAGTATTTAAAATCTCTCCTAAATCTCTCCAAATATGTGAAATCTCTCCTAGTATATTGAATCCCTCCCAAATCTCTCCAAGTATGCGAAATCTCTCCCAAATCTCTCCAAGTATGTGAAATCTCTCCCAAATCTCTCCACGTATCTCAAATCTCTCTAAGTACTTTCCTCAGTTGAAAACAACTCAAAACCAGAAGAGGAAACCCCAACAGGATCCTCTTGGTCCAGAACCCTCTTGGTCTTGAACCGCTTTGTTCGGAACCCTCTTGGTCCAGAAACCCTCTTACTCGTGAACCCTATTGGTCGGATACCTTCTAAGGAGCTAAGAAGGTTCTCACGTCAGAATTCAGCATCCTTCGGAACTCCTCACTGCTCCGGAAGGTTGACTCCGAAAGGAGTAAGCTCCAAAATGACTTCACTTAAGCCTGACTTCGGAATTGCCTAGTCCATCTCGCACCTCGGTCCGAACCGGCCAATTTCGCATCTGAATCCGAAAAGTTGTAGCGCCTCCGGAACTCCTTGCCTACCTACTTCGAACCCTCGCAACCCTAATCCTCCCCTCCAGAATTTGGGATATAAGTCCGGAATGCTAAGAGGAGCTTCATAATTCATGTTGTGGCTCCGGATTTCAGCCCTCCACTCCGAATTTTTGTCATTTTCGGACCATTTCATCATTTTAAGGCATTTTGACGTCGGAAATCGCACCAAACTCATATTTTTCCAATCTTAGACCCCTTAAATCTCTATTTTATGCCAAAATTAATTATTTTAAACATATTTAGCTAAAATAATTCACAAGATTTTTGTAAGGAATTCTAAGAAGAGAAGGAGTTTGGCTTTGTGATGTGATGTGAATCCTTTATTTCCCATGCAAATCCCAGTTAAACACAAAATATCCATGGATAACTAAGCATTGTACACCAGTCCTCTAAGCAAGTGTCATGTCACTTTTATTCCTCCACTTAGAATACGTGAACTCCTCTTCTTCAATTTCCCCACTTCTCATTTTCATCTCCAGCAAACTTCTAAGGGTGCTCTCAACTCCTTCAAGCTCCAAGTCTCATCCCTTCAAGGAAAATTCTAAGATTTTTGTAAGTGTTCATCTTCTCTGACCAGTGATTCTTCACAATATTCCTAAGGCTTTATTATATTTACACAAAAAATTACTCTTAGGATATTTCTAAGTTCAAAGAAACTCCCAAGTGTTGGAACTTGGAAACTCTTCCTCATCACTCTTCAAATCACCCAACAAGCTAAATCAAGGTGAGCTTCATACCCCTCCTTTTTTTTCAAATTTTTATTGTTTTTGGGGGTGAATACAAGTCAAAGTCTTATGTAAATCATGATTTAATTGCTTATTGTGTATGCATGCCATCTTACATGGGTCGAAGTATGAAAACTCTTGTAAATAGTCCAAAAACTGGAGTTTTTAGTTAAGTCTCAAGAGTTTGGATTAAATCTCACAAATCAAGTTTGGAATCAAGAACTAGTATGTTACAAAGTATAAACCACGAAAAGTTTATATCAACAACTATAAGGATTTATTTTAATAATTGCTTACACAAGTTGTTGGGCAAAATACTCTGAAAATGACTAAAGTATGGACATAATAATATGTTGGATCATTTTTGACCAAACATAAATACAAGGGTTATTTTGGAAAATTGTTTCATACTCATATTTTTTTTTACCAGATTAACAAACTACTCATGATTATTTATGAATATTTAATGTAAATATTTGTGGCAAGAAAATGTACTATTAGAGCCTTTATGACAGAAATATTTGTATGCCATAAACTACTGTCGTAAAAACCTCCAAGAACATAAGTAATGTTATATATGTCATAATACAGAAAAGGCGTGTCATAATAGGCAGTTATAAATTTATAGAATTATAACTCGACACTTTTTTTCTCTTGATTAAAATGACTTATTTTTCAATAAACGAAAAGGAACGAACACGAGCACCCAATTAACGAGCACAATCAACGATATGGAACGAGAACGATATTACTATTTAATAAGTACGAATTTCATTATTTATCTAACAAATAATGGATCTCTATCGATTGCTCCAAAGGTTGTTAATATTTTAGCCAGACAAATCTCAAAAGT